ACATGACGACACCAAACCAACCTCACCTTCCTGTAATGCTGGAGTGTAAGACTCAAAAACTAACACTGTGATACTGCAAATGCTACCATGTAAAAGTTTTCAAACTAGACTGTTCTGTTGAAAATAATACTAGTGCGATACTTTGTAGATTTTCTACAAATGAAGTAACACACAGTACCTCGATATAAGCCTTCTTACCCAGTTACACACAAATACACTCATGCTGACCACCATGACGTACCGCATGCCAAACTTCACTCTGGAGCAGAAGCTTTTCCTGCTTCGGAGAATCCATGCGGTGGTGGACACAGTCCAGGACTTTCGGAAAGACACCAACACTACTGTGCACCGGAACGCTGTATGGGCAGAGCTGGTTCAGGCCTTCAATGCGGCGTTCCCTAGTCGACCCCCCAGCAGCATCGGCTCTCTGAAGACACTGTGGAAACGGCTGAAGGTGGAATGTCGTGTTGGGCTGCAGAAGCGACAGGAACAGCAGGCAGCCGGGCTTCCTGTGTCTGCCCTCACTCAGGTAAACTGAAGTCTTATGTTTCTATAATTCAGTTATATGCTTTGGAAATTCTTGTAGCACACAATGTGGTTGTGTGTGGTTCTTGTCAGGTGCAGAGAGAAGTGATTGCCCTGGTACCGAACCTCATCTCCTGTCTGGAGGAGGTAGACGGAGATGGCAGCTATGCCTCGGTTAGGGGTAGCTCACCTGGAGCAGGTAATTAATAGTCATGTCATCTCTATTACAGAATGAAATACTACCACTCTTCCCAGCTGCCAGCTCTGTAATTATACAAGGAAGGAGATTAATTGAGTCATTCTCTCTCTTGTAGTGATGGGGCTTTCAGGCACTAATGGGAGTGAGCATGAAGATGCTGACCACAGTCAAAATGATGTAAGACTGAAATCAGCCTTGAAAGGATTACTAAAGTACCTCTTAAGCTAAACGTTTTCTTTTATATTGCAGATTTTGTTATAAAAATATGATTAACTCTCTCATGGCATGGAAAGCGTACTTGCTCGCATCATTATTTTATAATGTAAAGTGTTAACATTTTACATGCAGTAAACAGGAAATGTGGTGAAAATGTAATATTAATGTATTTATTCATTTATACATATATTAATTTATAATTATATACTGAATACACTACCATTCAGATGTTTTGGGTAAAACATTTTTTAAAGAAATTGACAGTAAAGACATTTATAATAAATAAATGTGGTTTTGTTGAACTTTCTATTCATCAAAGAATCCTGAACATTTTTTAACAGTTTCCACAAAAATGTTAAGCTGCACAACTGTTTCTAACATTGATACGAATAAGAAATGTTTCTTGAGCATCAAATCAGCATATTAAAATGATTTTTGAAAGAACACGTGACACTGAAAACTGAAGTAATACTGTAGCTGCAAAAAAAAATCAGATTTGCCATCACAGTAATGACATTGTAAACTATTTTAAAATAAAATTTTATTTTAAATTGTAATAATATTTCACAATATTGCTGATTTACTGTATTTTTTCTCAAATAAATGCAGCTTGGGTGAACATAAAAAAACATTTAAAAATTCTTATTAAATAAAACAATTAATTTTGCTTTTTATTATAAAACTGATATATACTATATATTACAAATTTTTATCATATGAAGATATATAAATATAAAATTTTTAAAAGGGTCATTTTTGTCATATTCTGTGTTCCATACACTAGGCCAGCGGTGGCGAACTCCGGTCCTGGAGAGCCGCAGCCCTGCAGAGTTCAGCTCTAACCCTAATTAAAACTCACCTGCCTGTAGCTTCCTAATAACCGTTCAGACCTTGATTAGCTTGTTCAGGTGTGTTTGATTAGGGTTGAAGCAAAACTCTGCAGGGCTGCGGCTCGCCAGGACCGACGATCGCCACCCCTGCACTAGGCATATACGTTTTCACCAGTGTTGCATTCATTGCAAATTTCCTGTGTTTACTGCATGTACAATGCATGCATGTATACTCTCAATATAGCATGCCGCTTTGAGCCTTATTACATAAATGTACAGCAATTATGATGCTATTAAACTTCAGTTTTTTTTACAGGAATTAGACAGCAAGGAGAACTTAGCCATTGAACTTGGATTGGTCTCACCAACTCACCCACCTGTTAACTCTGGGATTCCTCCTGGCACTGCCTCCTCTCCTCTCCACTCACATTCACTCTTTTCCAGGTCCAGCCGTCCCTCCCTCATCTACTCAACCCATGCAGGACTGGGATCAGGGACTAGGGGTTCAAACTTTGATACCCCACACAGAGAGTCTGTGGTGCCACGTGCTCCTGCCGGAGGAGCAGTTGAGAATTCATTACCGCCAATGGACTCTTATACCTCAAACTCGAAATGGGAGGCACGTCGACAGGAACTATTTGAGCTGGAGCATCAGCAGACGATGAGTCTGTTACTGCTGCAGCAGTGTGTGTGGGAGGAGAAGAGGAAAGCAGTGAGACAAAAAGAGAAGGCGGCGCGGGCCAAGAAGAGATATTATCAAGCCAAACTACGTAAGATCGGCACAGATCCTCCACCTTCCAGTAGTGACAGCGAGGATAACGAATATCTACAGACTTGAACTCAGATGTTTATGGCATCTTAGCTATGTTTGCTTTCTTTTTGAAAGTCATTTTTTATTCTCTGTTTATTTACAAAACAATATATTTTTTATTGTGGACTAAACTTAATTGGTGTTTAGGAATGTACCATGTGTATCGTATGGAGGGGGGAATTCACTCGAGCAGGCTTTGTTCCAATAGCTAATACAAGTCTGATTTCCTTTCATATTCTCTCTCATCAACACTGATGCTGCATTCCATTCAGTCAAAAGTGGGATAGTTAAAGGGATAATTCACCTGAAAATTGAAATTCTTAATTTAGTCACCCTCATATTGCTCCAAACTGTGTGACTTACTTTCTTCTGTGCAACACAAAAGAAGGTATTTTGAAAAAAAAAAATTGTCCATACAATAGAAGTAAATGGGTCCAGTGCTGTTGAAAACAGTTGAAATATTTCTCAAAATATCTTCTTTTGTGTTCTGCAGAAGAAAGTAAGTCATACATGTTTGGAGAGACAAAAGTAGAAGTAAATGACAACAGAATTTTCTCTTTTTTTTTTGGATGAACTATCCCTTTAAAGGCGCTCCATAGTCTGACATGACTTCGATTATGACATATAAAGAATCAAATCGTAATGCTAATGTTAGCATCGCAATTGTCAACAAAGAAGCCTTTTAGCATCCAATTTGCAGAGGATAAACAATGCTATGCAATGCTAGCATTTGTTTTACATGAGTAAAATTATCGACATAAAAGCTAATTTACCATTTTTTTACAAGCCTGTAAGGTTTTATTATAATGTAAATGTAATTACTTTGACTTGTTAATGAATTTAATTTGCTTAAAAGAGTGAATGTTTATCATGCACTGTGTCTATCGGGGTCTCGTGTTTAAGTGATATCATATAACAAAAACAACCGAAAATCTTATGTTAGGGATGTATTCCAAATGAGAAATTGGAGTGCAATAGTCAAACCCGTCCATCTAGTGCATGTTAACAATGGAAAAGCAGTGCAGTGGAATGCAAAAACAGGCCAGAACTGAGCAGTGAGGAGATGTTTAGTCCTGATACTTGTGCTTGATGAGAAGAGGAAATGAACTGAAATGAGATTTCTAATGTTACTGTATAGCATTTTAATTTAATGCTTGTGGATCAAACCAAGGATTGATTAAGGTTCTCCAACGCCCCTGTTTGATGCTATATGCATTACATTACAAACATTAAAAATGACTGTGGTAAGAAATTACACTGCAAATATGAGGTGAGAAAATATACAGAAGATACAACATTGCAACCTCCATGTGTGGAAAACATTTCAGGGGTCATTGCCAGTCTATAATCTAGCCTTGGATACAACTCATCTGACTGTTTTAGGACAGCGTCTTCAGGACCAACCTTTAGATTCAGTTCACTGTAGCTCCTTTATACTATGCAGGTTTTTTTCAGGTAAATAAGTGCTTCTCTTAAAGTGACTTCCTACTCATGGAGTGCTTGAAGTTAGTTCAGTGTTGTTGATTTACTTGTGTTAGTATACAGTGTTTGGGAACAGAGTGCTTTGTTCTTTTTCAAAATATGAACATCTTAAAGGTCTAAAATGGAAATTCTGTCATCATTTTCTTACCCTCATTATGTTTCAAACCGTTGATCCATGTTGTATGAAATAAAGTCATACAGGTTTGGAACAACATGAGGGTGAGTAAACGATACTTTCATTTTAGATGAACTGTCTTTTAAGGAATGTTACAACAGTAGACTGGAAATTGAGTGTGTAAACCAGTGAAACAGAATGTTAGACTGAATTAAACTAGTGAGAACCTTCCACTGTAAAAGCAGATGTAAAATTTACATTTAGATGTCATTTCATTTGATTTGACTGAAATTCAGAAAGATGTGTAATGTGATAAACAAGTAAAAAAAAAATTTAACCATAGAAGTGTTTGTCTTGAATATTCAAAAAAAAAACACAGAAACGTGATAGCAATAACTCTTTTATTGACGCCCAACAGGTCTCACTTTCCTCTCCCATTGGTAGCAGATTTTTTTTCTGAACACCCCCATAAGTAAAGGGGATACAACATGTCCCACATTAAACATGTTGAGCCATTATACATTCCCCTTTTCTCTCTCCTACCCAATCATTGTCTTCTACCGCTCTCTCTCTCTCTGATGGACAGAGGACATTTCTTTTCCCAGAATGCATTGTGAACAGAAGAGAAGGGGGACATATCAGACGATACATGTACAAAAGTTTTAACACATAAAACGTTTGAAACGGATGAAATTTCGCTCTTATATAAAAAAAAAAAACTCCCATACGCACTTCTTTATAAACACTCCAGCCACGATTATGGTAGAGAAATGAATTTCAATAAATATTAATAAATAAAATAAATTAATTTAATGTCTGTACAAGATAAAGTTATGTAGTAATAAATAAAATATAAAACCATGAATAGAAAAAGTACTGGAGCACTTTATGACAGGTAAGAGGTATAAAAGGGATGATATAGGGCACTCTTTTTGGCAAAACTCATGGTAATACTGCAAATGACTAAAGAGATAAAGTCATATGATGAAGCACGATTTCCCTTTTAAACAGGAGCTTGATATTTTGAAATCATCTCACCTTAATGCTTGTATTTAGCTCATTTTACAATGTTCCTTCCTCTGAAGCACTAAGATTATTCAATACTCCACAGAGACAATAATGACTGATATTTAGATATGCTCTCTTTGTTAGAAAAGAAATCAAAGATGGATTAAATATCTTCTCTTGAATAGCTGATTTGGGATCTTTGAGTAACATTTCCTTAAGCAATGTTTGAATTCTGATAATCCTGGATCTGAAAGAGGTCTTAATTATGCTACGAAGTCCTGTAGGCTAGTTACATGAATGATTAAAATGTATCTTCACACAGCTGCAACAAACTTCAACACATGCTTCGATATTATTTCAGAGCAGTTTGGCCAAAAATATTCCAGAAACTGGATAGGCATTTCATACAAGCATGAGTTTGTTGGGGTTTGTTGAAGAAATGGGTTTAGATCAAGCTAAAATCTTCCAATCAAGTCACCTGTCTGAAAACAATCCATTGACTGACAATCATTACCGTTCAAACATATCTTCTGTTTCATAATTCTTTATAATTACAATCACTGTCTCTGGAGTTTCCCACCAATCCCATGTTTGGGCCAATAAGTTCTGCATTTACACAGACCAATCCTTTTCTTTTTAGACTCTCTTCGGTCTATCAGTGGGTGTGGCTTGTTGCATAAACACATGTTGGAGTGGAAAGATTGGGAATGTTTGGGACTGTTTTGGCTCGGAATGGGTTTGAAAATGATTTTTTCGATCCTACCCACTTAAACACATATCCACACAATCTTCATAAACATCACACATCATCTTTGATCTTTGATGAAAAAGATACAAAAAGTATAAAAATGTTCTGTACAGTTTTTTTTCCCTCTCTCTCTTTGTCTCTGACCAGTCCTCTCAGCTGTTGGTCTGAAATCTGAGGTTTGTAGTTTGGATTAATTGAAAATCATAGAAATCCACCTTCTCTGGTTTGATTTCCTGTCTGTTCTCAGGAGGGTGATGTCTCAAGCCCTTGATGAACAACTTCACTCTCATGTCCTATGTTTTTCCCAGGGTGAAGTACAGTAGGAGTCCTGAACGCTCCGGTTGGCTTTGTCCTGTGATTCTTGAGCCCATCTGCAGAGGTGCATTATGGGACTGCGAAGGAATCATCAAGATTGTCCATCACTTCTGTTAACTCTACAAAGAGAAAAAAGAAAAAGACAGAACAGGAAAATGGTCAATAATGTCATCCTGTGCATAATATTTTTGAAGGGGCACCAGTGGTAGCTCACTTAGTGCTATTTTTATTACATATTTATATCTTTCATTTATATACAGTGGTGGCCAAAATAATTAGAACACTAGTATTTTCACCAGCTAAAAAATGGTTTTAAGTCAGTTATTTCTATGTTTTGATGTAGTGTGTCAGTAGGAAATATCAGTTTACATTTCCAAACATTCATTTTGCCATTAATTGTAATAATCCAGTGAGATTTTTGTCTGACAGCAGCCAGTGCTCCACACAGAGATCTGATCTGATCATCATCCAGTCTGTCTGGAATGACATGAAGAACCTGAGACAAACTAAATCCAGAAGATCTGTGGCAATGTCTCCAAGATGCTCCAAGTAAAAGTGTAAATAATATAAAATATTATTTATATTGTTAAATATAACAATATAATAAAGCACGCATAACATAATATAAAACATTACAAACTATATATATATATATATATATATATATATATACACAGTATAATAGTAATAGTAATATATTTTAATAATTATATATACAGTATATATTAAAAATATTATTATTATTTATATTATTATTAATTAGGACTATTTTAATAAAAAACGAATTATTTATTTTAACTAATTAATTATTTTAATAATGTTTAAAATATTATTTATATTGTTAAATATAACAATATAATAAAGCACGCATAACATAATATAAAACATTACAAAATATATATATATATATATATATACACAGTATAATAGTAATAGTAATATATTTTAATAATTATATATACAGTATATATTAAAAATATTATTATTATTTATATTATTATTAATTAGGACTATTTTAATAAAAAACGAATTATTTATTTTAACTAATTAATTATTTTAATAATGTTATGCTGTCCACATACACACACACACACACACACACACATACATTAATATTGTTTAATTTATAAATTTATTTTGATTAGGATGTTTTTATTTTTAATAGCAATTTTCATGTTTCATGTTTTTTTTCAAAAAATTAAAGAGCAAAAAAGTAAACCACACAAAATTTGCAACGGATCACCGTGCGTTTTTCTTGTTTGGAAAAGAGCAGCTTTGACATTTTGTAACTGAACAGAACCAAGGATGACCATGAAACAAATGAGGAATACAAAAGGGGACAAAACAGGGGCTGGACTTACTCAGAGTCAGGTGACACTTCAGAGACGCTCTGAGAGGTTGCAGAGCGAGGAGGTGGGGAAGGGGAGGGGCCTGCCAAGGCAGAGACAGGGTTAGGGGGCGGGGTTAAGACAGAGGAGCTGAAGGAGGCGAGTATGGAGGAGAGGATATCCAGGTGTTCACTAGAGGGCGGGCGACTGGATGGAGCTCCAGGTGCAGCTGCAGATGGCGGGTACCTACATGGGGGGGCGGAGTCTAGGCGACCGCGGCGAGAGGGCAGGGTTTCCTGGGGTTCCTCTGTGATTGGTGGAGGGGGTGAAGAGGGTGGGTGTGGCTCAGGGTGTGAGAGCTGTCGGGGCGGCAGGGTTCTCAGCCACTCCCTGCAGGGCTGTGCTCCGCCGTTAGATTCCAACTGCTCCCGGGACCGACTGCTCATAAGAGCCCCTCCGAGGTGCTCCCGAGAGGCCTGTTGCCTTGTTAGAGTGTTAAGCTGCGTTCTCGAACCGCTTAATGAACCCTCTGCCCCCATTAAACCCACCATGCCACCCCTGCCCACCAGATCCTCTCTGGAGGCATGGATACTGTGAACGGGGCCCAGCCTCTCTCTGGACCCACCCAGGTGTTCGGCACCAAACTCGCGTCGTCTCGGCAACAGGTCGAGGTTGTCCCGAGAACGCTGGTGTCGCACAAGCGAATCCAGGTGTTCACGGGAAGAGTATCGGGAAGCAGGTTGGGACAGCGAACCAGTGCCGGAGTACATACGACCGTAGGAGGCAGCTGGGACACCTCTGTGACCCAATGTTGAGGTCCTGTACCAAGACATCTCGCTGGGAGCTCGACCCACGGCAGACAGGCCCTGCAGAGCAGGAGGGCATCCCAGACGATTCTTCAGGATTCCTGAGAAATGGATGCAGAGGGGTTTAGTACGACCTTCTATGCACCGATATTAAAATTCTGTCAATACATGAAAATAGCAATAAGCCAATAACTATTTTCATGCAAATAAGATGAAAGAATGTACAGAATTTATATAATTTATACTATTTTATTAATATTTTATTTCTAAAATATTTTCTTCATAAAAATTTTATGAAATTACTAATATTTCTAAATCAATTAAAAATACTGTAAAACACTAAAAGCTAAAACAAAAAATTTAAAAGTGTCATAAAATTTTAAATACTAACTTTAAGTAAGTGTTAGATGATGGAAAAATAAATAAATAAATAAAAATAGGGGAAATAAGTCAATAAATTATTAAGTATTAAATATATAATTTAATATTGGCCAGTGTTATTTTAGTATCACTGAGACAGTGTTATAAGTTTTATTAATATTTTCAATTAGTTTTTATTTTTATATTTCCTGTTTTTATTTTAATTTTAGTTAAAGGTTTAGTAACTGCAGTTATGTATTTTTGTGTATTTATATATATATATATA